CCTCGCCTCGCCGGCCTCGCCAGGCAAGGCATCGTTTCGGAAATCAGCGCGCGCCAGTGCCTGCCTGGCCTGCCGGCCTGCCTACTGCGCCCGATATCGTGTGTCCTGGCTCCGGACTCCGGAGGGGGAGGGGGAGGGGCTGCCCGCGGGGACTGCCAGTCGAGGCCTGTCACGTGATCGCGGCCGGCGAGCTGACACCCCGGCGGAGACTGCCCGCTAGTGCACTGGCAAGAGTCGGACTGGGGCGTCTGGAGTCTGGAGGCCGCCGACGGCGCCTCCCCTTGGGCCTTGGGACTTTGGCTGAGTCCTCGGAGCCCGAGCAGCCACAGCGCAGCGCGACGGAGACGGCATCAAATTCAATTTCCACATCGAGGGCAGCAACCGCGCTGCGCCCGCCTCTGTCCACAACAGGGTGTCGCCTGCGACGGGCAGCCAATCGGTGCCGTGTCCTCTAGAAGTGGCTCGGCGGGCAATGCATTCATGCCCCACACGAGGGGCGGCGATTACCTCGGCCGCGATGCATTTTTCATGGCGCCATGAAAAATGCATCGGGGTTCGTGTCGGTGCATCCGGGGCGCGTCATCGAGAACGTCATCGGCCGCGCCGCGGCGACCTCGGCCTCTGGGTGCCTCCACGGCCTCGGCCTCCACGTCGACGGGGCCCTGGGCCTGGCGGCCTAGCCTCATCAGCGCGCGTCCACCGCAAGGGCATAAAACAGGCGGGGCTCGGCGACGACGAGGCGATGATGGGTGCGAACCTCGGTCACGACGACGCGCCGCGACGCGCCCCGCCGTGGGAAGGGGGCCTTGCCCCCTTGCGGGCCTCGCGCTCGTCACCACGCCGTAAATTCGAGCGGCGACCACGGCGGTAACGAGGAAGGGTGCAGCGCGAGGACAAAGGGCCGGGCGACGCGGGCGAAGGGCCCGTCACTGTCGCCGCCACTTCCGCCGGCCAACTTGCTCCGCTGTCGCGCTGCCGCCACGCCGCCGCGTTGTGTGTGTATTACGAGGAAGATTCAAGGATCGCGGCAAAAAATGACGCCAACAGAAACAAAACAAACTGCACCACCACCAGCAGAGCGGCAAGCCTGGCAAGCCTGGCCATCGTCCGGCATGCCCTTGACGTCCGCACTCACCACGTCGGAACAAGCACCAAGCACGTCGCGCGGGGGTTGGGGGAGGGGGAATTAAAAAAAGGAAAACGACACGACAAAGCACACGCGAGCAGCCAAATGGCGAGGCATAAAGAAGACCGAGTACTGAGTGCAGAACGGCGATAATACGAGCGAGGTGATAAAGAGCACGTCCACAAGCCGGGCAGCAAGCGCAGCAAGGCTCGCCGAGGCTGCTGCATCCGCACGGCTTTTACGGACTCTTCGGGAATCACAATGCACACGTATATACACTGCCAAGCGAGGCGCTCCGCGGGGACTCCGCGGGGCCGCGAGCCACAAAGGGGAGTTATTACCGCCGGAACGGGGACGGCCGGACGGGTAATTGCAGCGAGCGAGACATGCACCGCCAGGACGCCGACGACGACCACAGCCAGGGCGCCGACGATCGCCAGGGGGGCGCGGAAATACTTGGCTATACAAATTTGGGGTCGCGAGCCGAAAAAGGTCGGGAACCGCTGGTGTGGGTCCTTTGGTGGCGGCAACCTGCACAGCTGCAGCAGCAGTCGCCAGGCATAGTCAATGACGCGTCCGCTGCAGTACAAACTCAACTTCAAAACTCAATCTCGCACTTGTGACGCGCGCGGGGGCTGCACTCCATGCTCGTCGCCGATGTGCACGGCGCACGGACTTGCGGGGAGGGGGGGGGAGGATCCAAGAGGCTCGCGGTCGCAAGACGTGGCGTGGGGTTTCTTGGGTGCAGTGCGGGGTGGGGCGGGGGGGGGGGGGGGGAGGCAAACGTTAACTTAGGTTAGGTCCGTCGGCAGACAGACAGACAGACAGACAGACGGACGAACAGACGGACGGGCGGTCTCATCATCATTTTCATAGAGGACCGTGCTAGGGCCGTGGACGACCCACCAACCGCAATAAAGGGGGAAACAAAACATACAGAACCATTCGAGTGTGTGCTTCGTTGCTTCGGCGGCCACGTCTGGGTCAGACAGGGGGACCGCAAAAAAGGAGAGGGGGGCGGGACGCTGTCCTGGCTCCCAGTCCCAGGCCCCGAGGGGGGCAACCCTAGACCCCAAGAGGGGCAACCCTAGACCCCAAGAGGGGCAACCCTAGACCCCGGCGCGCCAGCACAGCGGTGCCGGGAAATGGGAAAGGAATCCCAGTGCAGCTCGCATTCACGTCAGATCGACGCGGCAATGCAAAATGAAAAAAAAAGAAGAAGAAAGAGGGAAAAAACGAGAAAAGGGGTCTCTTTAAACGCGACCTGTCGGGCGGGAAGGGGGAGGGAGGCCTGGTACGCAGAATAGGGGCGGAAAAAATATCACCCACGGGAAAAAGAGAGCATCGAGGAGCAGGAGGAAACGGAGCGACACGCAATCAACACAACACACGGCGTGGAGCGCGAGGCGCGAACGGGCGGCTCGCACGACACACGGCGTTCAAACGGTGCCCGTTGCACGTTGCACGTCCACGACGACGCGGCCAAAGAGGTCCGGGCGGCGGGGCGCCAATCCGCCTCGACGCCGTGCTCCCCGCCACCCAGAACACCCGCCAGGTTTGTTTTTTCCCGGCGCCTAGACCAGTGGTTCTCAACCTTAGGGTCGCGACCCCAAGCGGGGTCGCGAAATTTTTTTAAGGGGTCGCGGCGATGTTGGGGTCGTGTTTTAGGCCGATTTTAAGCAGCCACTGCGTCTGATCCGAGGCGGGCATTTTGCTCCCTCAACGGGCAGTTGGTCTTTGGACCTTCCTTTAGCATGCCTTTGTTACGGAGTGCAATTATCAGTCTTAGTTTGAGAGCAGTATTGTCTCAAAGTTGGCCGAAACGCTCAGAAATGTCTATAAAAAATCGTGTTTTGGGCCGATTTTAAGCAGCCACTGCGTCTGATCCGAGGCGGGCATTTTGCTCCCTCAACGGGCAATTGGTCTTTAGACCTTCCTTTAGCATGCCTTTGTTACGGAGTGCAATTATCAGTCTTAGTTTGGGAGCAGTATTGTCTCAAAGTTGGCCGAAACGCTCAGAAATGTCTATGACAAATCGTGTTTTGGGCCGATTTTAAGCAGCCACTGCGTCTGATCCGAGGCGGGCATTTTGCTCCCTCAACGGGCAATTGGTCTTTGGACCTTCCTTTAGCATGCCTTTGTTACGGAGTGCGATTGTCAGTCTTAGTTTGGGAGCAGTATTGTCTCAAAGTCGATCAAAACGGTCGCAAGTGTCTTTGAAAAATCGTTGTGACTATTTTGGTCAACTTTGAGACAATACTGCTCCCAAACTAAGACTGATAATCGCACTCCGTAACAAAGGCATGCTAAAGGAAGGTCCAAAGACCAACTGCCCGTTGAGGGAGCAAAATGCCCGCCTCGGATCAGACGCAGTGGCTGCTTAAAATCGGCCCAAAACACGATTTTTCAAAGACACTGCTGACCGTTTCGGCCAACTTTGAGACAATACTGCTCCCAAACTAAGACTGATAATCGCACTCCGTAACAGAGGCATGCTAAAGGAAGGTCCAAAGACCAGTTGCCCGTTGAGGGAGCAAAATGCCCGCCTCGGATCAGACGCTGTGGCTGCTTAAAATCAGCCCAAAACACGATTTTTCATAGACATTTCTGAGCGTTTTGGCCAACTTTGAGACAATACTGCTCCCAAACTAAGACTGATAATTGCACTCCGTAACAAAGGCATGCTAAAGGAAGGTCCAAAGACCAGTTGCCCGTTGAGGGAGCAAAATGCCCGCCTCGGATCAGACGCCGTGGCATGTTAAAGGAGGGGTCCCGTGGGGTCGCGAAATTTTTCCTGGGGGTCGCGGAAATTTTTGGCTTCAAATTTGGGGTCGCGAGCCGAGAAAGGTTGAGAACCGCTGGCCTAGACAGTGATGAGAAATTCGCTGCGCGGGACTTGATTCCAAACAATGGCTTCGTCTCTCTCGCACTCATGGGGCGACCCGCAGGGCGCGCAGGGGTGCGACAGAGACGGACAGCAATGAAGCATCGTTGGGAAGCAGCCAGCTGCCGCCCTTCGCCCTTTTGGCTGCCTGTGGCTGCCTTTGGCGCGGTCGGTCCTTATCGGCTTCTTTGGCTGAGAGACTCCAAAAAGTACGTCCGGCGCACAGCGGGGCGCGGCGGGGCGCGGCGGCAGACTCGGCCACGGCGCCACGGCGCCACAACGCGGGCCCGACCGGCCCCATCCACCGCCGCCGTCCGCCAACGGACACGATGACGATGACGAGGAAGAGGAAAAATGGAATCGAGCAAGGGGTCCCCAACCGGCGAAAATCGGTGTACACGGGTGAAAAAGTCATCAAAAAAGTCACTAAAAGTCAAAAAAGTCAAAAAGTCACAAAAGTCAAAAAGTAACAGAAAAACCACTATAAAGTATCCAAAAAGTCACGAAACAGCCTTTAAAAATGCCAAATATTAATGAACGCTGGTGGAAAAGTAACTTTTTGAGTCTAAAAAGTCATTTAAAGGTCAAAAAGTCATTTTAAAGTCAAAAAGTCATTAAAACGTGTGAAAGTGAAAATAGTTCCTAGGCAAAACAGTCGCAAAAAGTCAGAAAAGATACTCAAAAAAGTCACAAAAAAGTCAAAAAACAATCAAAAAGTCACAAAAAAGTCAAAAAAGTCAGTTTTGACTTTAAGTCAGTGTACGCTCGCCGGCTCGGTTGGGGACCCTTGGAATCGAGTGACAATCGACGAGGAGAAGTGGCGGGCGGCGGTGACGCACGACGGCCAATGCGGTGGGCCTTCCCCGCCCCGCGCAGCGCCACTCGCAAAGGGGTGGGGGCACATGAGTGCAATCACAAGGGCGCGGGCCCCGCTTCCCGCTCCGCCCTCGAGCCCTCCACGCTTCCAACTTGACACGCGTCGAACCTCACCTGTCATCTGGCTCCACCTCCACCGCCCTGCTGCCGCTGCTGCCGCGCCGCCACCTGCAAACAAACAGGCAGGCCATTAGTCGAGCCGCTGCTGGTCCACTGCACTGTGAAGCGCGATGCGCGATCGCACCGCGCGGCCGCCAGGGGGGCCAACAACATACATCAAAAGCAGCAAGCAGCGATCGCCACCGCACCAACAACAAAAATCACGCCAAATAAAAAGAGAGCGAGATGGAATGGATACAGGGGATGGATGGACGGACAGTCAAGCGGTCCCACGCGAGTTATTTCGAGCGCGTCGAACCGAGCGCCGGACCCCTCGCCACATTGTGCCGGCCGCGCCGCGCCGCGCCGCGCTTCCGTGAATCCGGCCGCCCCGTCCCCGTCCACCCCATGACGACCATGACGATGCCCGCGGCGCCCGACACGGCGCGCCAACATCCGCCGCCAGCCGCGCCACCCTCTGTGGCCGGCACAGCGCTCCGTCGCTCTGTCTCTCTCGCACCCCAGCGGGACGCCCCGTGAGTGCGAGAGAGACAGAGACAGACGGAAACCGTGTTCGGATTCGGATTCAGCGCGTCCCTCTCACAAAGTGTCGAAGCTGGCGACGGAAATGACGTCGATGGCGCACAGAGTGCCGCAGCTCTCTTTACCCATCTCTCTCTTTCTCTCCCTTCCGCGTCACTTCGTTTCGGCGGCGCTGCGGAGCGCCGAGGTAGGCCGCCCGCGCCGCCGCCGCGCGTGGAGCACCGACCGGCTGCCTACCTCGCAGGCGCCCGGCGGCGGTGTCGTGATGGAGCCAACGCACACACACACACATGACAAGCGCGTGCTCCCGACATATCAAAGACCGACGGCGGATGTCATTCTCACTCACACTCACACACACAGTGTGCAAAGACGGGCGCAGACACATATATGGTGTTCCGGCGTAGGCATACCGTCGTGCAAGTTGCCAAGGAAGGGGAGCCGTCGGCCTGGGCCGAGGCCTGGGCGGTGTCGACGTGGACGCCAACGCCCCCTATCGCGGCGGCGCATCTCGGGCCGGTAACGTCGCGGCCGGCGGCCCAGCGGCCCGGACACCCCGGACACGATCCTGGAGCTGGGCAGCGAGGGGGCCGCGTGTCATCGCGCCGTCAGGCCAAGTCAGGCGGGCAGGGTCAGGCCGGGCAGGGCCAGGCAGGCCGGGGAGCGAGAGGGGCTCGGCGCCGAAAGGCAGGCAAGGCTTGCAGTGCAGGGCCGGCAGGCCATGGGAACGGCCGGTGGGAAAGGGCCCCGAGGGCTCGTGCCGGGGCAGCGCGAGGCAGTGCAGGGCTTGCAGTGCAGGGCTTGCAGTGCAGGGCGGACCGGGGCGAGGGCCACGGAACGGCGCCGCCTTCGCTGCCTCGCTGGGCCGGGCAAAGCCTGCCAAAGGCTGCGTGGTACCGCTGGGCCGGGCCGCTGGGCTCGGCGCTGGGCCGCGGCTTGGCGGCTTGGCTCGGCCTGCCCGTCAAAACAGGATACCTGCTCGCGGCAGGCTGGCAGGCTCCGCGTTGTAAAGTCGTCGGGACGGTTATGGGGGCCGAGGCAAGGCGAAGGCGAGGGCCGAGGCGGCCGGCCGGCCGGACGGCGGGCAGGCCTTCCTCCGCACTGCACTCCGACGCTGCACCATCGGCGCGTCGAACGCGCACACACCGACGCCGCGCATCGACCCGCGAGGACGCCGAACGCCGTCATTCACGCCAACATCACCATCCGGCGGCCCGGCGTGCTGATAGCGCGCGTCACGTGCCATCCGGCGGCGTCCCTCCGAGGACGACGGGCACGGCGGCTCGGCGGCACGGCCAGCGCCGCGACGGCCAAATTGCACGCCCTTGTCGTTTTGGCCCCATCAGGCTCCATGCGACGGGACGGATGGCCAGGGTGGACGGGCCGGGCGCGGCGCTGTCTCATGGAAAGCACCGCCACAATCAGGATGATGATGATGGCCTGCGACCGGACCTCCCTGGGCCCGGGGCCCGCGTGCCATCACGTGTCGGAAACCCACACACGCGTCACTCACACAGACACACACGCGCGGCCGTAAATGCTGGCCAAACATGACCGCCACTTCCAGGGAAAGAACACACGCGCGCGCACTGACGCTCGCGACGTCGTCGTCGTCGTCGTCGTCGCGGACCCGCGGTGGTTCCGTCGCTCTGCTTCGCTCGCACTCGCGGGGCGTCCCGCGGTGGAGCGAGAGAGACAGAGCGACGGAACCTTCACGAACACGCGGTCCTTGGACTCCGCGCGATAAGGGCCGCGATTGCCGCCGCGGCCCTCCTCGTGGGACGCGGTCTGGACGCCGGGACGCCAGGACCTCGGGACTTGCACCTCTCAAAACCTGCAATTTGAGCTCGAGCAATTTCAGCTTCAGCCCGCCTTCCCGCCTCAGCCTTTGCAGTGCCCCGAGGCGCCAGGCGAGGCGTCATCGCGGTGCTCCGGCCGGCCCTCCCATTACCTCCACGGCTTTGTTCACATTCGGCCGGCGTCTTGAACCTGGCGCCAGCAGCGCGGCCCAACTGCCGCCGCGCGTCGTCGACGCCCTTCTCTCTCACTCACGTGGCGTCGGGCCGGGCGGGTGCGAGAGAGACAGGACGACGTCGTCATGCCCCAGTTAAATGAGACGCGACGAGACTCATCCGATGGCTTCATCCGAATGAATTCACCGCGCCTGACAAGTCGCCAGTTCGTTCTGTCTCGCTCCTCTCGGCTCCTGGCTTGGAGACGCAGCGGACCGCGTAATGTAGAGCCAGTCTGTCCGTCTGCCAGTCCGTCCGCCTGACCCGCCGCCGCGGTGCTTCGCCACGGCTGCGCCGTTGCGCCGCTTTGCCCAATTCCTGCATCCGATCCCCATTCATTATCATCGGCTCGGCCAGCCTCAGGTCCTTCAGGTACGGCAACACGCCGCTTTATTTTCCAGTCGCGTTGGCAGAGACAAAACGGCGCTGGCAAACGACCTACGCCCATGCCGAGCCGCGCTGCGCCCCGCCGTGCCGTGCCCCGGCCGTCGGGCCGCCTTACGCCCCTCGTTGTCACACCCCGACGCGCCACGCCCGCCACGCCCCCGTCACGACGAGACAGCTTTTCAAAGTGTCTCCATCTGAGAGGCCATAAAATGAACGGTGTAGAATGACAGCCCCGCCCCGCCCCGCGAAAACCTTGTTAGAGTCCGAGCGACCGAGAACCGGCAGAAAAGTATCTCGAGTACCGTGAGCAGCGCGAGCGTCGTCGTCGTCACCGCTCCGCGGAAATCCGCGCTCCGGGTCGACGCTCGCCGAACCGCGCCGCCGTTCTATTCCCGCGCGGAGCGAAGTCCGTCCTCCGGCGGCACGCACCGCGCCCTGCTGCGTGCTGCGGTGCCGAAAAGGGAGCATGACGGTGTAAACTCGCCGCGGCGCCACGGCGGCGGCCCTTCCACGCAAACAGCAATTTTTCATCTCGCAGCCTCCATGACAGAGTCGACGGAGTCGCGAGTGGCGGACGCGCTGCTGCCGCCACTGCCGCCCCGCCGCCCGGCCAAAGCAATAATAATCCATTGTCAAAGAAATCCTTATTCTCACGTCTCACGTCGTCCGCGGCACGTTTTTGCCGCTGCCCTTTTTTGCGGCCGCTGCCGCCGCGACGCCTTCCTTTGAGGGGCAGAGCGCGAGGCAGGCCGACCGCGGACGGGCTGGCCGATGACGCGACATCCACGACATCGGCGAGGCGGCGAGGCGACAGCGAAGGGCAGCACGGCGCCGGCATGCACCGCGACCACCGCGCGCTCTCCGGGACATGTCAAAGAGGCCAAAGGGCGCCACGGCGGGGCACGCCGCCAGGCTCATTCCCAACAGGACTTTGGCCGCTCCGTCTCCCTCGCGCTCGCGGGGCGTCCCGGAGGCCGCGGGGGAGCGAGAGAGACAGACAGGGTTCGGAATCGGCCGGCAAAGCGGCGCCGAGTGAGCGACCCGAAGTGGAGCGTGAGAGGCTGGATAAGGGAGACCGGCGAAGACCAGGGACCAGGAAGGGCGAGATAGGCTATCAGGCAAACCCACGCGGAGCGCGGAGCGCGGACAAGAGGGCCCTTGCCTTGTACACCTCCCGCTGCACCGCTCGGCCCGGCGCGGACCGGACGGGCCGGCACCGCGGCGAACACGCCTCCGGCCTCGCGATGCCGAGTTGGACTTGCAGCCTAATAGGCGATTGGCGCTGCATCGCGCTGCAGCGTGTCGTGGCGCGAGGGTCACCGAGTGCCCACCCCGTGCCCACACCGTGGAGCCTGGAGCCTCGGAGCCTGCTGGAGTGTCTCCTGGAGCCTCTCGACTGGAGCGCGGCGAGCGTGCCCACGAATACGGCACGCTGCCTAGACTCGACTCGAGTGCCCCCCGGCCGCCCTGCCCTGCTCGTTGATTCGAACGGTGCTTCGTAACTCCGTCTCTCTCGCGCCCCGGCGGGGGACGGCTCGCGAGTGCGAGAGAGACGGAGCGACGGAACCATACCGCTCGGAATCAAACGGCATGGCGCGGGCCGCGGCGGGCCTGGCCGCGGTCACTGTGTTGTGTGGTCCCACTGGTCCGCGCTGCATGCGTCCCGGCTGTCCAGCCGTCCAGCCCGGCGGCCTGCTTCGTGGCGTAACTAATCGGCGGAAGGAAACGGGGGAGGGCGGGGGGGCAGCGCGGGGCCCAGACGCTTTTACCACCTGTCGGGTCGGGACGCAGGGCCGCGACAATCGGGACCAGCATTCCGTGCCGTGATTCCGTGTGCGTGCGCCGGGGCCGGCCGGGGCTCCCCGCCGGCCCTGCACCTCCCCGCCGGCGACGAGCCCCGCGGCACCGCCGCACCGCGGCCCTGCGAGCTGCATTATGGGCCATAGGACACGGCCATTGTTCTTGCGGGCCATACAATTAATACACGCGTAGCTGCTATATGGGCTCACATCGCTCTCGTACACACACACACACACTCTCACACACACTTACACGGCGACGGGCCGCGACGTTCCCATATCCGGTGCCGGTCCGCTGGAGAGGCATTGCGAGCCCCCCCCCCCCTTT